AGTTTGCATGTGCTCACCACAATAATGTGGTTTGATGAGTTTCGATTTTGTTGCAACATCTAGATGGTACGATCCAAATATGGCATGAACAACATGAAAGCCCCTTTCCGTCTTAACGGTTCAGGCTACCAGTAGTGGTGTAATGGTGTGAGGGAAATCTTCTTGGTATCAAAGAACAGAAAGCCGAGGTTATAGTTTACATAAGATCACTAAAGTGTTCTGGTCTGATTGTCTTGAGTTCTGCTGCTGTAGGGTCAGACTTTACTGTAAACAACCATGAATCTGTTCTGCCTTTTATCAGTGGTTCAGACAGCTGCTGCTGGTTCAACATGTATTTTTCCTTGATGTTAACTTGTCACAGTTTAGGCTCCTTAGTACCAACTGAAATTTTCAGGGTGAGATTCACATCTCAATAAAAAACAGAGAATTATCTTTCAGTTAACACTACTGATTTACATCCTGGAAGAACTTCCATACTGGAAGAAAGAGCGAAAGAGATCATATGTAAAAGGGAATTTTGAAAAAGTGCTTATAAACGTTATAAATGATCTTTTTTCTTTTTTTTTTAAAGAAATCTTTTACTTCGTGTTATGTTTTTCATACCAGTTGTAATTTCCATTGCAAATATTAATCACAGTTAAATTAAGGGGGGATGGCATTAAAAACTAAGCTAAGCTGTGATGTCATCAAGTACACTTCCGTTCATACTGTAGAACCACCGCGCTGCGTTCTCCTGAAGACTCTCGTTTGAACGAACTTGCGCCCACCGGAGCCTCGACTGAATTCTTCGTTCGGACTCTGCAGGAGACGGACGCATAGGAAGCGGACAAACGAAGACTTCTTTCTTCGCCTTTGATCATGAAAGTGTGGGTTTTTGCTGTTCTGGCCGCTCTCGCGGTCGGAGCCTCAGCTCAGAGCTGTAAGTAATTTAAATTTGATACAAACTTGATTCTAAAAAGAAGCCACAGCTCAGTTTGAGTAGATTTAATGGAAATTTTCACAAAAACGAACAAACCCCCCCAACGCATTTTAAAAGTTCAGAGCACCTTTATTTAAGACATAGATAAATTATCTTTCTATGAGATGTAGTTTTGCTTGTTTTATTTGATCAAATATTGTAATTTGCCACCAGAGTTGAACCAAAAAGCTGTTTTTAATGTTACACTAGCTAGTTTTGTTGGTGGGTGGGGAAGGTTTCTTCCTCTGTGTTGGGACTAGCACCCAAAAGATTCATTCTTATGTTCTTATTCATTCTTATATAACACTAACTATACTGTACAGTCACAGTATAGTAATGTGGTTACGTATTTGAGTTCCTGTTAATAACCTGCTAGTGTGGTGGTGTTTTTTTCCTCTTTAGGTCCAACAACATGTGCCACTATGAAGTGGGCTATGTGCGACGGACCCCCATGTTCATGTACTCTTCTGGTTGGTAATGGTACAAAACAGCCCATAGACTGCACAGCATGTAAGTTTAGAAGTGGTAAAGGGGCTCCTTCCTGTTTCATTCCTCTGTTTGACACTCCAGCCTGCTCATGGTGTGCACTTTGTTCCCCTCTCAGTGATCCCCAAGTGCTTCTTGATGAAAACTGAAATGTACAGAGCTAGAAGGGGCCTGAGCACTCGCACTATTGGAGGAAAGCAACATGAGATCGCCATTGTGGACAACGATGGCATCTATGACCCTGAATGTGAGAATGACGGCAAATTCAAGGCCAAGCAGTGCAACGGCACAGATGTGTGCTGGTGCGTCAACAGCGCTGGAGTTCGTCGGACTGACAAGGGAGACCAGACCCTCCAGTGTGGGAAGCTGGTGGAGACCTAGTAAGTGATTTCACTATAGTGAAGGATTGCTGTGAGGATGAATAGTTCAAGTATTCAACAAGTCTTTATTTTATTTTCCCTCTTCCAGCTGGGTCCGTCTTCAGCTGACACACAAGGAGGTGAACGTCTACGTGAATAAAGACAATTTGAAGACGTAAGTCCACTTCAGCCCTTATTAAAAGTTAAGAAACATGCTGAGGCTGACATTTCCAGATCTCACCATCCTAATGTCTTTTTTAAAACAGTGCTATTGCAAATGAACTTAACAGCCGTTACAAACTTAACCCCAGCCTGGTGAAGGAGATTCAGGTGAGTGACAGTCCAACAAAAAACTGCTTGTAATTTAGAACAAAGCAAAAAGCACCACTGCCATGCTAACTAACATCCTGTCATTCTACAGTATGACCCAGACGCTCGCATGATTGTGGTTGATGTGACTAAGCCAAAAGGAGAGCGC